TTTCTTTTCATGCGTTTTTGCATATATGCAAATGCGAAAACGCATACTGCGACGACCCCGGTGCGCAGGTGTGTGTGTCTCTCCGGGTATTTCAGCTCGGTACCCAAGCAAGCTCCGGCGCCAAAATTTTGCGAGTAGGTTCCCTGGCCAAGTGCCGCTCCAGAAACGCGGTACCAATCCTCACGCGCGTCTGGGCCCCGTGTACGAACGCTTTTAAGTTTTCGCGGGAAAATTGCTAACTTGGGAACCAGAAAAGCTAGAAAGCTGAAATTTTGGGACTATGTCCTCCGTCCAAATAGAACCCAAAGATTTTAAATTCAGTCCTCAGGTGTGCTTGTTTCCCGCGTACGGCCCCGTGAGGTTTCCTGGCGCGAAAATCGCTGGCTCGGGAACCTAGAAAGCTGGGGGGCTGAAACTTTCAGCGGATGTTTCCAGTTCATCTATAACTTAAATTTATCAAATTCAGCCCCCCGTTTTGCGTGGTTATCACGTACGGCCTCGTGAAAATTTTTGGCGGGAAAATGGATAACTCCGGAACTAGGGAAGCCGAGAAGCTGAGACTTTCAGAAAATGTTCCCAACTCATCTACAACTTAAATTTGTCAAATTCAGCCCCCGTTTGGCGTGGTTACCACGTGCGGCTCCGCGAAATTTTCTGGCTGAAATTCGGGTAATTCGAGAACTGGGAAAGCTAGGAACCTGGGATTCCAAGAAAATATTCCCTATCCAAGTATAGCGTGGACAATTAGTTTCCCGAAATTCGAGGACCATTATGTCAAAGGTTGTTACCTTTCTTCACGATGCTACAAGGTAATATGCGCTTCCTACCAACTAGCATTAAAGCAGATCGACATATTATCTCAATTTAAAATCAAGACGAGGCGAACTATAGGTCTAGAAATTTTAAAACCCTGTTCTGCTTTCCCTTCTGCCAGCTTCATAAAGCAGAATAAACAGCCAACTGTTCTAACACGTCCAAATTCTGAGCTCGTGCTGCTGCTCCCACAAGGCAGGAAACAGCAGGTGCAAACTTTTGGCGCTTTCCCTGCGCTACATCGATCTTTGATCGCGAGAAAAAATTACAACAATAATATTGGTGCCGACAATCATGGTGGTGATAATAGCACTATTACTGCTGCTGGTAATAATAACCCAGGTGGAACGCACCGAGCGGACTCTTGCGATCAAGCGTTTTTGCACCGGACTTGAAGTATTCAGGTTATTAACTGCACGAATGGTTGTTGCTTTACACCTACCTTTTGCGGTCACTAGCATAAATCACCACAAATTTTGCACAAAGTAAATGTGCAATTTCCATTTAATGGTCGCTCTTTAAAAGTAACCTAGCTGTTTGGTGAGAAATTTTTCCACTAAAACTTTTAAGTGACCGTACATAGCAAGCACGCATACCTCGAGGCTGAATTTGAAAAACTTAAGGTGTACTTAGACAGGGAACATTGCCCTAAAATTTCAGCTTTCTAGCTTTTCTGGTTCCTGAGTTAGTAATTTTCTCGCAGAAATTTTCATTCGCTGTTACGTGAGTACCACGCATAGCTCGGGGCTGGATTAGAATATTTGACTTGTACTTGGGCATGGAGCATCACCCCAAAATTTCAGCTTTCTAGATTTCCTGGTTTCCGAATTAGTAATTTTCC